GGCATCAGATTAAAATAAAACCATATTATGAAACAAGAAGCTTCAAAGAGAATAAATGAGACTGACGTTAACACTCTCAAAACTACTAACAGAACGGCATACAAAGACTTCAACCAGAACAAGAGAAACAAACTTTCATGCATCCTAAACAACTTGACATGATAAGAAACTAACTGTAAGCTTACCATGAGAAGATTCAACATCCAAAATCAAATCAAGTGCATAATCATAATAAGGAACTTGACTGCTTAGCCCACAAAGGTTAAAATCATCTTGTATGTAATCATCATCAACTTCACAAAAGAATTCATTTCCACGTAGGTTGCAAAACCATGAGATCCAAGACGTGTCATCCCCATCAGAACCACTAACATCTGACTCTTCACTGTCTGTTTCAGATTCATCTACAGTCAATGCATACAAATTAGCAGGTTATAAAATTATATGAATTTGATTTGATTTGGGAAATTGAACACCCCTCCAAAAGGGGGAAAAAGGGAAAATGCTAAAACCAACTTAGTTTCAATGCTGACAATTCATTTGAGCTATAAACACAGATATTGATTAAAGCTATTCATACAAATACAGGGTTTAGCCAATATCTATATAACCTCATCACACCACACGCTTGTGACAATCTAAAGTAAGAACGTTTGCGATACAAAGCCCGTCTCTTTTCCCACTTTAAGAGATAGAGAAGCACGTCCAGTTGAAAGCAAGGGTCGTTTAGGACATTTCAACAGAAACATTTGAGCTTTCTTATCTTTTCTCACTCTCTCTCAAATGTAGGCATAAAAAATTTTGTATTACTAATTTGTTTTTAAACAACATTAGTATTAATAACAATAAAAATTCAGAATTTCAATTATATCCAGCTTCAATTACATAAATTTCAAAACCGTTTGGCAAACTTAATTACATTAGAAATCATCAAAACTCAAGTAATGAAAAAATCAAATAAAATTTCAAAATAGTCAGGTCCAAACCTAAATATAAAAATTAATAACGATAAAAAAAAAACTCAATTTATCATTAAAAAGGAAAAAAAATTCAAAAAATTTTTTAGTAGAAATCTAATTTAATTATTGACAGAGAGAGATGTGATTCTATTTATACCATCGGAAGCTTTGGCTTTGGGTAGAGAAACAGAGCGAGAGTCGCGATGATGATCAGGTGGATGCTTCCCCATGAGGAGGGAGTGCGCGGACTTATCCTTGCCGTTGATCGCCCTCGAAGTGGAAGGCGACGATCGCTCCAGCTGCTTATCAAGAGCCTCGTTGATCCGCTTCCGATCCACGGACCCTACCTCTCCCTTGGAGCCACCGGCCGCTCTCTCTCCTCTGTACATCTTCTCTTTCTCTCGTCTCTTCTCCTTCTTATTCTTCTTCTTCTTCTCCCTATTTGCCGATGATATGAATCGCTTGTGTTATCGCCGATTCATAGCGTGTAATGACGCAAATTACCCTAGGTGCCCCAAAATCTAGGGTTTCCTTTTGTTTTTTTTTTTTTGTTTTTTGTTTCGGATTTATTTATTTATTTTTAGTTCAGGGAGAGATGGAGCTAAGCGCTTAAGGTGACCCATTTTTATTCTTTTCTTTTATACTTCCGTCCCTGGATTTTATTGGGTTTTCACTTTTTTTTGCTAGATGGAGAAAGGAACAGGGTAGAGAGAGAAAGCAAGGTGGAGGGGACTTTTAGAGAGAGAAAAGGTTAAAATCGGGAGACAATTTTTAGGTTCCGGCGAGATGGCCGATAAATCGGCGGGGCCAACTTTAGGCTCCCTTTTGAAGGGTGGGGGCAAGCATCCGGTGCGATCACTTCAATATCTTTCGACTGTCTGACTTACACGTGGCGTCTGATCAGCTCATCGCACAGTGAAAACAATATTTTTTCTAATTAAAAAAAGAATTTAATTGAATGAAATTTCACTTGTCGTTACTCCAATGATGGATATCAATCATTTTTACTAACGACTGTAACTCACAGAGGAAATACAAGCTGTTAAATTTTTTTTTTACAAACAAATAAATAACAGAAGAAACCCAAAGAGAAAAAAAAAAAAGCAAATGAAAAATCAAAAACTCAATGGGTGTCTGATGAACTGTGAATAATGCTGGGGACCAGATGATACAGAGCCAGTAGCCAGCTAGAGACTGCGTATTTGATATTTGATATTCTCCACCCGGACCTTTGCATTATCACAGAACATTCTGTCACGTGCCAAGTATGCATATCAGTGCTTTCAACACCAACTGTATTTTATTTTAGTTTTGTCTTGGAACGTCTGGGACAGCAACTTAAAATACAAGAAAAATGGTGGAGTAGGACAGTTGGTACTGCTGCTATTAACTTTGGTAGGTGATTCTTGTTTAAATAAGTTAGTTCTGAGCTTGCATCCGATGTTTCCAAAGAATGATTCTTAAATGCTGGTCGTGCAGGATATAATAAATGATTAAAGAATGCTTCATGATTCATGGTGTAGCATTGTAGGGGTGTAAATGTTTCAGTGTTCATCTGTCCCTTGGGTGGTTAACGTGAGAGATTTGAAGCCAGCCTAACTCTTTTGCATTCAATCTTTTAATTCTTGGTTTTGAAAGCATTGGCTCTCCCACAAGTCGCCCCCTGTGCTTGGGGATTTTTCTTGTTTTGTTTTCTCTAATGTTCACATTGAGGCGTGGGGTTGGCATCGTGGTCACTTGACCTTGTCTTCATTAAGCAAAAGAGAACAGATTCATTCTATTTGAACTGTCAAATCCAAGATCATTTGATCCTTTCTGTTCCCACTTTAGGAGGATGATAATTATTCCAAGGAAGAAGGTGCTTTGGGTTGGACATTGTTTTGCTCCATTGATCGACACTGTACGTCTCCCACGAGGTAAAGAGTGTGTGAACACTAAACCTCACGAGTTTCTCCCATGTGAGCCAGTCTTCAAGTTTGTCTTTGTATAATCATAGAAAAAACCGCCATCAATCCTGTCGAGACATCAACTTGTCTAAATTTCATCCACACTTTTATTCTGTTCAGTCCACGATTTGAACTGCCTTTCTTCACTATGCAGTTTGCGGCATTCCATTTAAAGTATTTGGCAGGATATGGATACATTGATAAGTATTTATGTCACGAGATCATAATACTCCTCACGTTTATAAATTCTCTAAAATCTTCTAGTTACTCGATATGGAATTTAAATGACTTATCTATTTCCTTTTAAGTCTATGATAGCTGAGAACCTTAGATGTTCACCTAATAGAATAGATCCACTAAGAAGTTTAGATAGCCATGACAATTTTTGTTTCTCTTCCTCATAGCAAAAGGGAAGAGAGCAACATGAAGGACATTTTAGGAGCTTACAAATATTACTATTGCTCTTTCTAGTACGAATATTCTTCCAAGGATGTTGTACTTACAATTCACTGCGAAATTCACATTTCCAAATACTGTTAATAATCACACAAATGTGACGTTTGGTACATTACAATGCAATGTGATTACAGGTAATGTGATTGCAAGTAATGTGATTGCAAGCAATGTGATTACAGGGAAAATAACATTACAGTGTTTGGTATGTAAGCAAAATAATGATTAAAATACAGAAAAGATAATATTGCAGTGTTTGATTTACAAGTATTTTAGTGGGAATGTAATGTTAATTGTCAAAATTACCCATAATTATTAAAATATAAGTTTAATATATTTATATTTTTTATTATTAATTTTTATATAATATCATTTCTTAAATATATTTTTAATATCATATATTTTATTTTTATTTATTATTATAATATTTTATATTTTATTTTTAATATATTTATATTTTTATTATTAATTTTTATATAATATCATTTTTAAATATATTTTTAATGTCATATATTTTATTTTATTTATTATTATTATATTTATATTTTATTTTTAATATATTTATATTTTATTATTAATTTTTATATAATATCATATTTTAAATATATTTTTAATATCATATATTTTATTTTTATTTATTATTATAATTTTATATATTTTATTTTTAATATATTTATATTTTTATTATTAATTTTTATATAATATCATTTCTTAAATATATTTTAATGTCATATATTTTATTTTATTTATTATTATAATATTTTATATTTTATTTTTAATATATTTATATTTATATTACTAATTTTTATATAATATCATATTTTAAATATATTTTTAATGTCATATATTTTATTTTATTTATTTTTATAATATTTTATATTTTATTTTTAATATATTTATATTTTTATTATTAATTTTTATATAATATCATATTTTAAATATATTTTTAATGTCATATATTTTATTTTTATTTATTATTATAATATTTTATATTTTATTTTCATTTTTTAATATATTTTTTATATTATATATTTTATTTTATTTGTTTTACCTATATTATATAAATGTTAATTTTTTATATTTTATTTTATTTTAATTTTTATTCTTATATTACATATTTTATTTTAATATTTTTATTTTAATTATAATATTATAAAATATTTTTAATAAGGTAATAAAATTGAAATGTAAAATTTATCTTTAAGAACATTGCAGAGTGCAATGTAATGTGATTGCATTGGTTTTAGACTGCGTTCAAGCCAACCCATAAACCTTAGGTACATAACAGAATATTGCCTCCATGATATGAAACCTGCCCTGGATTCTGATTCTTTGTTGGTATGTCAACTTGTTAGAGTATTGAGTACAGCGTCAAGATCAGCAAATTGAAGCTCTTTTCCAGATTCAAGATGATTTGACGCAAGTCTAATTTAAGATTTGCCATGCCATGACAACAAGCTGCTCACCACATTATTTGCATAAAAAGAAATGTTAAGGATGCATTGTTCCCAAAGATAGATTTGGGTAGTAATGGAGCCTCATCATCAGTATCTATAATGACTAAAGCAAACTGATTATTTTCCTTAAAACTTCTTATGCCAAGAGAATCGTCCATATGCTCACAAAACTGTTTACGACAAGCAACCTCAGCACAGGGCAAAACACAGTAGGGGGCTGCTTAGTCTCATGGTTATGCATGATTAACGTCAGAGGCATTCGTAATTCATTTGGCTATATGCTTGAAGGAACTGTAAAAAAATTGTAATTCGAAATTACTATACAGAATGCTCTATTATCGGTCTAATTGAAGAATTGCTTCCGACTGAACGTGTGATTTCATACCATTTATATGAAAAGAAGTTAGGTGCATAACTACAAAAGGGTAATCACTGCTTATACCAAAGAGCTATCTGCAAATGTTTAGCAATGAGTGAAAGTATGTCTCCATTCTTAGTCCTCAGCAAAATACTTTTCCTCAGCATCATGGTTAGCTTCCCTAAGCCAGTGATCATCCAAGGTCTCATCATCATCTATTTTCGCGTAATCTAAATGCTCACGGTCTTCGCCAGAGAGAAACTTCTGCTGCATAATGTAGGTGAATTGATCCATCCTATCTTGCATTTCTTCTGCTGAAGGTGCTTCTTCATGTTCATCCATAGTTGCAGAAGCAGCACCCCTGTCATTGCCAGGATGGTCCAAAAGCATCTGAAAGAGACAGTGTACGATATCAATGTATGAAAACCCACAAAGACAAGAATCCAGACACCCTAATTACTACTTGTAATCATTCAGAAACACTAATACATCGTAATTAAAGGCAAATTAATAGGCAGCACACAAGCGATAACGGCCTTGCCCATCCATCTTTAGAGTAATAGTAGGTCAGAGGATACTAGTTTCCTGTAACAAAATGATCAACCTTTACGAGGTAATGGCATCCGGCGATAGAGTCAAAAAAGGGTACAATACCTTTAACAGCATTTGGAATTAATGATAAATTTCATAGGAAGAAAGATGTTCTGTTAGTCCCTGGGTCTACAGTCCAACTTAAACTGGACTTAGATATTGCCTCTACCTAAGAATCCTAATTAGTAACTTGTTCGGAAAATGCAGATGCTAAAATATAGACAGGAATTGAGTCAAGTACTTACTCCCTTGCCCTGCTCGCCTCCATTTTCCTTCTTCATTTCATGCTCATCTTCCTCTTCCTCTTCCTCTTCCTCTTCTTCTTCTTCTTCTTCCTCCTCCTCCTCCTCCTCCTCTTCTTCTTGTTGCTGGTTTGTATGATTACCAACCCAATCTTTTTGAGCCACACCGAGCCTCTGCTGTTCTTCTCTAATCTTAGCAACCAACCTAGCTTCCTCACACCTCCTCATCAAAGTCTCAGACCAGCGTTCCCCAGGCTTGGCCATGCTTCTCCCACTTAAATCCTGAAACCTCCCCAAATACTCATGATGCAAATAGGGTTCTCTCTCCCTCATTGCATCCTCCGAAAAATATTGGCCATCACATATCAATTTATTCAAGTAAGCCCTCCTCCGATTCTTGACGGTCACTGACCTTGATTTCAATTCCTCTGAAGTTGGACTCATCTTGCTTCTAAGATGCTTTAAGTGCCAATTAACCTCATAATCATCATTGAGTGCATCGAATTCGAGGAGTTCATCACTCGTCAATTCTGACCCATATCTTTCTGCATCACCGACATTAGTTTAATTACAGTTATAACGATTTTACTACCATTCTTGAAATAATGACTAATGCTATTCAAAAACAAAAAAACAAAAAGCAGTACCTAAGAAAACGGGGACGTCGCGCGAAAGGAGGTCGTGGAGGATAGACTTGCGATGGAAGGGATCAGAGGCCGAAGATTGAAGGGCGCGTGGGAAGTAGAGATTTTCCAGACAGGACAACCTCTCTGTTATGCTCTCAATCGCTTCTATTGTCACTTTTCTCTCCATTTCTTTCTGATTCTTTCTGCTTCACAAACCTCCGAAACCCACACAGACCGCTTCTGTAACATTACCGGTGTCGTGTCGGCTATTTGAGTCGGTGTTTTATCAGCTCCTGGCTGGTCTAGCCAAAACGACCGCGTTACAAATTTCATTTATTACCTTAGCTTAGTCCCGAAAATTTTTTTGTGCAAATAAATTTTAATTCTTTGTTAGACTTATATTCTTTTTAAATTAATCTTTTTATGTGCTAAATATAAATTATAAGTATTGGGTTTTTTTAAAATACGAGTGCATTATGATTTAAAGTTTAAACTTTAATATAGAGCATCCTCTATTTTGTTCCCATTTTATTGTAGTTATTCAAATTATATACCTTCTTTTACATTTCTTTCCTGGCTTGCCCCTCCCTGTACAATGCTAAAGACATTTCTCAAACAGGCTGATTGCAGCAGCCTGATCGGGGAAAAACTGTGTAAAGTAGATGACAACTCCTATAATATCGAAATTACAGCAATGCTCTTAACGCGAATTGATAAATTAACCCCATCACTTTCCTTATGAATCCTTGTATCGTGAACTATCTGAATTACAAGTCACATGCAGGTTTTCTAATGGCTACAATTGCTCAACGTGCTTAGTAATTGCATCAGGGCAAGATTGTGCTTGTAGGAGCTCTAACCGGCTGAATGGTGGTGCGAATTGCAATATGTAGTCCTCGTCTGAAGCCAACAAAAGAAATCAGAGTGTATGCACACAGTAATTATTTTGATTACTGACACAAGGCCGCTTAGAGAGGGAGAAATTAAGAGAATGGGGAAAGAGGTCATGAACTACAAAACTTCCATGATGCCTGTTTTTACTAAATTATATCAACAAATAAATGGGGCTCAAGCAGATGTGGAAGGGGAGATTAAAGTTAGAATCTTACTCTCTTTGACTGTTCCGTAAAGCCAGCACAATACCTCATCAGCAAATGCCAGGCAGACTCCTCCCTAAGAATGAGTATTAAACAGGGAGAGAACGTTAGTAACACCAATATTTATTCTGTAGAGCTGTGATGACCTTGACTAATCACATATGACATCCAACAAAGGCGGACATAGAAAGGCATTTTTTTAAATAAGTGGACGCTAAAGAGAAAAGTTACACCAATGGGTGTGCAATTAACAGATTAAAGGGGAAAAAAACCAGTTCATTTGCATGTATTTTGCAGCAAGACATGAGTTTTGTGTGAGTAGTTCTTCATTGCCACCGTGTTATGTCTTTGGAGATACTGATGGGTAAAAAAGAAAAAATTCAATTCAGTGCATGTGTTGGAGTAAATGTATAATACCTGCCAGTAGTTCTTCATTTTCACTCGATGGGTTATGTCTTTGGTTCTTAGTCTCTCAGTGCGTACAAGTCGGCCTGCATCATCCCTACATCAAACATGTGAATGGAAAAGTTAATATTTATTTGCAAAGAGAAAACCTAACACTAACAGCACAACAGAACAGAATTCAGCTCAGCATTTTTTGAGAAGAGAGTGTGTGCACTCAACTTATTTCTGTTCCTCTCCAATACACCTAAGCTAAACTTACATAGGGAAGAAAGTGATTTCCCAATCACGACAGTAAAGAGAGAGTGCTTTCTTAAGACATTTGAAGTTAGTGTGAAGTGCCAATAGAAATTACCTAAACCCGATAACAATATAAGGAACACCCGCCAGGAATGATTGAATCTGTGATGATAAAATAGCCATGTTATTCTCTCCACAAACAAAGGATAGTTTGAAAAAGAAGAAAATGCCTTTTCTGAACAAACCTTTCACAAGTGCTATTTCTCAAAAAATTCTAACAATATAAACTAATGAAATATGTATCTAAAAACAAGACATACATGTTGCATGCCAAACTTCAAAGTAAAAGATATTCAGGCACAATCCATAGCCATTGGATAAAAAAAACATACCCAAAACTTAAGCAGTTTCTCTCTTTCATATCTTTCCTCTGTATGATAATCCAACTGCAAAGCCAGGGACATATTCATGAGTTATTGAAGTCAGTGAAGGTTATGATTAAAAGGCAGCAAAAGTAACATGGAGCACAGCAGCACACCATGAAGCAAGTTGTTTCTTTACCTCACGGCTTGTTTTCAACTCCACATAAAATCTTCTTCCCTCATCTGTTGAATCACAGCAGTCCATTTCAGCGCCCATCAAAATACGATGAGCCCCTAATTTGGTTTTAATCACCGAACAGTATTCAACATTTGCATCAATATGATGTATCTCTTCACCATCAGCTCTTCTTGGATCTTCAGTGGCAAGGCTCTCAAAACAATACCCCCAATAACATCTAAATTAACAATATTTGAAAAGTAAAGCACTTAGAACTTAAAGTCAATGAGATGAGCAATATAGTAAATGAAAACTAACAAACACATGTAGAAATTATGGACATAGTGAATGCTTATCACTCGGTAAACACCTCATAAGCACTAAGACATTTTAAATTTGGAAACCTCAAAAGTATTCCAGTGGATTCAAAATTTAGTGGGAAGGAGAGGAATGTTTCAAAATTTTGGTACCTTTGACGATCCACCTCACTTCGTGGCCTCTCAGGCAGTTTATGCACATCAAGATAGACAACACCATTCCGCTTGTGCACTCCCATTTCCCAAGGCTCATTTCTAATGTAAGCAGTGGCCATTATCTACATGAAAGCAAGAGAGCATCCAATAAAAGACTATAAAAAATGGGTTAATAATCCATCAAATTCATAAATGAAAGCTCACATATATGCACTCATTCAAAAAAGATTAGCTGATAAGACCTCTGACTAGAATACCATGTTCATTAGCACTTTTCTGCAATGAGTATGTTATCTATGAATCAATTTTTCTCCTCTTAAATATATGTGTTTAATGGTTCACTAGCATTTTGATAACCCTTACTGTTAATTGTTTCAGAGAGAGAGAGAGAGAGAGAACTAAAAATCATGTAAGAATAGCTGCTGTTATACTTCATGGGACCTGAGAACCTTGAAAAAGATATGGAATGGAAAGTGGCACTAAGAATGCTCATTTAAGAGTTAAAACACTGATAAACATAAATTATATACCCTCTTATCATTCCAAGTCATGCAATAACAAAAGAGGAGTGGACATTCTTTCTAGAGTAGCAATTACCTTATTAAGATTGTTGCGAAAAGTCTGTAAAAGAGTAGGGAATAGGGTTAGATGATCTCCTTAATCGAAGCAATAAAGGATGAACTCTAAGGTAAATGAATAACATTTTCCATACCACAAAATGAATGTTTTGAAGAGGGATAGTTTTGTCTCTCATGCAAGCAAGAAGGTCACCAAAACCCTCAGACCCTAAATCTGGTGTCAAGAAAAATCATCGGGGTTGGCTGCACTGATTAGACCTCATTTGTAATACAATCAAAACATGATTAATCTCTAACTGCCCCTAAACATGCATACCTTTTTTTTCAATAAAGGTATTGAAACCTTGATTGAGATCAGCTCCAATATCTTCAGTAATAAGACGCTTAAAAAGTCTCTGGTAATGAGAATAAAAGAAATATATGCGAAATGAGCTAATGATAAGGAAGACAAAAAAAATTATGTATAACCTACTACTACTACTCCAGAATGCTTACCAAGCTGCGGTCATCAAAGTAGACATCTCCACCTTCAACACGGCTATAGCAAGCAAGTTCACATGGCTGTTACATTTAATTAGCACATTTAGCAAAAAGTAGACCACAGAAAAATATGTGTTTGTGAGCATGTGAAAGTACATAAATTTGCATACTTTAAAGGGTATCTAAAAGCATAAAAAGAATTGCCCAAACAGAAACTATTGATCATATCAACAAGATCATAAACGTGTATATAGACCAAATAAACATATAGAATGTTCTGACCACCATTTTCTCAATATATGAACTTGTCCTTTCCTTTCTAACAATATGATATTGGACAGGAAAAAGGAACATACGTATGCCAATCACCAGTTCAAGGAGATTTATGCAAACCAGTGAGACAAGAAAGATGGACTTGGGATGATGTTTCGCATAACTTTGGTATATCAACCTAGAAATTTTAAGTAGTCATTAAAGAAAAAGGACAAATAATTTACTCACTTCCTGAAAAGCAATACATTTTCTAGATAAAGTCTCCTCACTCTTTGAAAGCTTTAGTTCAGAAACAAAACGTTCATCGTGACGTCCATTTGCAAATTTGGATCCATACCCATAACCTTGCCTTGGAGGATAAGCAGGACGGCCAAGGATGCCTGCTCCTCTATCATTCTGCCAGCGACCACGTCCAAAACCCCCTCTCCCTGGGTTATTTGTATTCCGAATAACAGGCAATACTGCAAAGGAATCCAATATTATTGTAAAGTTTTTCCCATATTTCCTGAAACAAAACAATCCAATAGCTCATACTTTATTCCTGTCATTTTATAATTCTAAAACTTTCACTAAACAGACGATAAAGAGTTCATAACATCTGCTGTTACTTGTATGTTAAATTCCGTTGTTAATAGCCAGCTGCCCATTTCCTTATACATGGAGGTTACTCCCTAAAACTTAAATCCCAGAAACCAAACCAAAAGAATCACCAAAAAAGCAATTGAGGGAACCTCTAAAATCTACACCCAAGCAAAGCAAGAAAAAATAATCTTACAAAGATTTCTATTTTCATATAACATAGCAAAATTCTCCCAGAAAACGAATGGCCCCATTGATGGGCAAAGATCACACTGAATACAATCAAGAAAGAATGAAAAAGAAATTACCAGGAATAGAGAAAGGGCTTGTGGCAGGGGTTTTACAGTAATCTTCATTATCGGACCCAAAAAGATCTCTTTCATCTTCTTCTACATCCCCGTAAATACCCTCTTCACCATTATTATTATAATCGTAATTATTAGTATTAACGTTGCCTACTTCTTCTCCAGTTTCTTCTTCGCCTCCGCTGCTTGCGCTTCCACTTGCGCTGCTGGTCTCACCGCCATCGCTGCCGTTGGGTGAAGAAGAAGCCGAAGATGATGATGAAGCGGAGGATGACGACGAAGATGAATGAGAGGAAGAGGAATCATGGGAATCATCGTGGTTATTGCTGTCGTTGTTGTTGTTGTTGTTGTTGTTGTTGTTGTTGTTGTCTTCTCCGAAGACATCCACATCTTGTTCTGAGAAATCCATGTCGTAGATTCTGTTTTAGTTTTGTTTTCGCTCTCTATAACAAAAGAGCAAAGCGAATCTTTGCGTTTGAGGTTTCGGTTGTCGATGGTTATCAGTTCCTTTTGTGTCGACGACTGGAGTTCGGGGGGGTTAGTGGAAGGTGACTCGGTTGGAAATCATGCGAGTTGCCTCAGTTCATGGGCCAGAATGAAAATAC